TAACTATTTATGAAATAATTCGTTTTCACATGATACGAACTCAATCAATTCTTCCGTTCATTAGATTCAAGCAAAAGATAAGTAATAAAAAGTATACATAAATAAAGGGCTTTATATGAAAAAAAATCTTTAAACAGCCTTGTCAAAAAGAACATTAAAAATACATCTACCGCTGAGCCATTTGAGGTGTTGATACATCTAATCTGGGGAGATCTGGTTTCTTTTGAAAGCTAAACATTTTTGTTGATAATTTGAAATTTAAACTTCCTAAATGCAACACTCATTTACCATTCAAAAATCTGTTTGTCGTTTATTTTATTATAATGCGGCTGTGGTTTATATTTACTCTATATGACAAGGGATGGGGGATCCTACTCTGAGAAAGAGATAGCTGCAGATCTGTAGCTCTCCGAAAATATATATTGATAGACCGGAGAGTTACAGTGCCACCACCCATTGAAAAAACTGTATATTTATTGCGCACAAAAAAGTGAGCTCTGTTCTTGTTCAATTCTTCCAAATTCTTACCTCTATTGCAAATAAGGAAAGATTCAAAATTCTTTTATCATCTATCAAATACTCTCGTAGTTGACACCTGAACGAAGCATATTGGACCGAATTATCTTTGAAACCAAAATGGCAGTATAAATAAGCGAAATTTTCTATGATTACAATATCAGGGTTCTGAGGATTTAGTATATTAACAACAATTTTGAGGAATCTTTGGTTGTGGAAACAGCGAAAGAATATGTAAAAAACACACGGTTAGCAATAGATTGAGATTATAGCTTTAAAAACATGGAGAAATAAATCGAGAACTGAGCGCACTTTTTTGTGTGCAATAAATATACAGTCTTTTCAATGGGGGGCACTAAAGCTCTCCGGTCTATCAATATATTTTTTCGGAGAGCTGCAGATCTGCAGCTAAGAAAGAGCGAACTTCAAGGAGTAATTTGGTTCTGGTGTGTGAAGTCCCCTTGGAGGGAAATTCTGCTCTAGAGTACGATTAATAATGAGGACGAGGGTGCTCGAACCCGCCCTTACTGTACAGTATACATATCTCAAGCAATCAGATGATTCTGCAAAAAGTTTATTGGTTTAAAGTACCCTATTTGCAGCAGTCGCAACTAAAATGTCTTGTAAATTTTCTTTTATAATTTTTAACTCCTGTGTTTTTTTAATTTAGATGTTAATTTAGTTCATTTGTATATTTCTTATAAAAAATAAAATTATTTGACTTTAATGAAATGTATTCATAAACATTTTGTGCCATCAGAAATACTGCACAGGTATAATACTTCCGGATCATCGGTTTTCTGCGTAAAACATAAAATGAATAATTGTCCTTGCTTCGTAAGATTTTTAGTTAATGTATTTTTTTTAATAAAAGTACCTGATCAAAGATGCAATGTAATGTAAATATTTTAAAGAAGTCGTCGTACTCCGATTTTGTAATGAAGCGTATACGTAAATGCAGTGGATTTGATTTTAAAGCGTTTATCGATTATATTCAATAGCTGACCATTTTCAGAAGGTCAATATAAATTTTTCTTTTCATTTTGAAATTGGTCATTTTTTGGAGTGGTATTATCAGCGCCCCCTTCAGACCCTTTGCTATATATTTTTATAGTTGTAAGTATGTCAAATCATTTTTCTAATTCAATACTCTGATTCTGATACAAAAAAATTGGAAAATCATAAATTACATGTAGAACAAGTAGCTTTGAATTTTGCAAACTATGTTACAATCACTATATTTAAATTCCATTAATCATGCCACTGCGACAAAGAGGTCAGTGATGCCAAATTGATAAATTTAAGACAGATTCCTTAATTTTAAAATTGTTTGAGAAGAAAAATTAGAAATATATTTTCATCATGCAATAACTGTTCGTAATTTCCATATTTGATCTAAAATATTAAGCATTCAAGTGCCTATGAAGACGGGGATCTTAATCAGTGATGAAAACCGGTGGTAATAAGTGAATAAAGGGCACTAAAGAGGGTGTTTTGTTCATTTTGGAAAATGTTCCCGTTTAGATACAATATAACAAGAACTGGTGTGTGAATATTAATGAGTGTAAAATAGGTCCCCGTTTGTGCTGTGAAATGTGCTTAGCTTAAAATCAAAGATATTGATATATTCTCATTATATTTGTCATCAGGATTACAGGGTGATTAATATTTTAGGTCAAAAGTCAATGAAATGTTAAAAATAAAGAAGTCCCCACTTTGACAGTCTTTAACCCCTGTCCCCGTTTGACACCCTTCACACTTACAGACCCTGAGACGTGCTACTACCCCAAAAAAGCGTGAAACTTTCGTGCGCTTCCGTTTTGTGCAAACCGTGTAGCGTTTCGTGTAAACCGTGCAGCGTTTCGTGCAAACCGTGTAGCGTTTCGTGTAAACCGTGCAGCGTTTCGTGTAAGCTCCAAAGCGTTTCGTGCAAACCGTGTACCGAGCGTGCGAGAATCGTGTGAGAAACGTGCAACTTTCGTGTACGAGTCGTGTGAGAAACGTGTGACTTTCGTGCAAGAATCGTGTAAGATTCATTCGAAAGTCATTTCATTTTAAATATGGCTATCGATGAGTCAGAATGTCAAATTGTATTAGTATTTTATTATTGAAATAATTATGATTGTGATATTTTTGGAGTAATAACAAAAAATGGAACAACAAAACAAAATTACACGGTAAAGTATAATACATATTTGGTTTTTTTTCTTTTTCTTCCGAAGAAATTGTAATCAAATTAATCAACTATGTACAACAATTTTAAGGGCATTGAATTTCGATATACTATCAACGCGATCATGGCTTCTTAAATTTTTTTCTCAAAGAAAGATAGAAATTAATACCGGTATAATATTTTTTCATTTAAAGCAAAAAATATATCAGGACGCTGCTCTTGTCTTTATACTTAAAGTACGTGAAAGAAAAAGAGTTAAGCCCACGAATGGTCAAATAATGCCTCATATAAAAAATTAATGAAATTTTGATAATAGATAGTATAGACTTCGAGCTTTATGGAACTGTTTTCCTTTTTTTGATATCTATTTTACTTTTTATTTAAGAGAGTTTGCAGTATGGCATTGTTTTACTAGGAAATGGTGAACGGAACGTCATAATTGGTATAACGTGACGTAAGGTCATATAGGACAAAAAATTATGTGATTGTAAGCACAGAAATGACTTGATAATGGATAATTGACTACCGGGTATGACATTATCAGTTTAATAGAAGTACATGTCCAGTCGTATTTGGTGCGATTCTAACAATACAAGGCCCAATAGCAACGTTTTTGAATGTAAGTATGGGTTGGGGGTGGAGGAAAAAACCTCCACAAAAAATTAACATGCAGCAATAATCCTCCTGATAAACTGCATCCGATCGGTAATATGTTTGATTTTACCTCTTCACTAAATACGCCAGAAGGAATATTTCTTGCTTCGTATTTGTATATAAATATATTATATTTATATAGTTAATGCCTAAAAAGTAAATATACTAGAAATCACTGGCCTCTGTGACTACACCTCCTCAAAAAAAGTTCTATTCCGTTAGGGGTGGGTGGCTTCCTCTAACTTTCATTTAATGCAGGAATTTGCCAGTTTTTAACTTCTTTTAGCTATGGGCAGCATCTTAATAAAAATATACATATCAAAACTAAGCAAAATAATATTGACCCTCCCCCCTTCTACTCTGCGTGGGGGGGGGGGGGGGGGTTCGAACTTCAGTACCAATTTTTTCCCCAAACACTACCACTTTCCTCGTTTTTAACCGATACTGCCACTTGCCTGTGGAAAGTGGGGGAGGGGGGGGGGAAACCTACGAAGCAATTTTTAATGTCTATACTACCGGTAGGTTTATATTTGGGAAAAAAAGGCATGATGAAACCAAAGTTAAGCAAGTTTAAACATCTTTTTGGAAGACAAAAGCATTAACTTCTATTTAATAAAAAAAAAACAATGACTGAATCTGAAATTCAACCTTCAAATGCCTTTTAAAAGAAAGAGGGAGTCAAAGGCGAGGACAATCTCCTGCTCCGAGACATATTTCTCAATTCCCAAAATTCACAGAAAAGTTTTAATTTTCTAAAATCATGTTATCAGTTATGTCATCTTTAACACGTTTGATTCATCTATTTCATTGCATGACTTAATATTTTTCAAGTTGACATGCAGTTACGCATATTTAACGGAAAACGGTTATAAATTGTTTGTTTTTTTTATATATATATATATATATATATATATATATATATATATATATATATATATATATATATATATATATATATATATATATATATATATATATATATATATATATATATATATATATATATATATATATATATATATATATATATATATATATGGGTCAAGTCTCCATTCCACATTAATGTTTAAAAGATTAAAAAGTAATTGTAATATCTATTTTACGTTTCAAAAAATTGAAGTCCGAAACCATTCAATATAAAAACAACACGATTTATCTAAAGCATTCTAACATACATTACATTATGACAAATAAGCACTTGCAGCGTAGTGGTTAACATACTAGTATTAAGGTTAAGAGAAAAAATGGGTTCAGTATTATGCCCAACCTTGAGCTTTTGATAGAGTTTGAATCTTGTGAGAGTTTTTTTCACACATGTGCACCTTAAAACAAAACTAAGTGAAAAATGAAATGATATATCTGTAAGTTATTTAATAAAATAAAAGAGGCAGATATGTAAAAGATGACTCTGACAAAGCAATTATTGAAAACATCTTATCATGAATTCTTACACTAAGAGTTGAATTTCTTTGTCTCAAAGCGGGGATTGTCCTAGCCTTGGACACCTCATTTCTACAACCATAAAACAGTAAATAATTCTGCCCTATTAAATATTAAACCTTGAATTTGGTGAAAATTAGTGTACAGAAAATTAGATATGGACATGCATTTCATCAAAGACTAGAATTTTACTTTAAAAGTAATCGCATTTTATTTCTCACATGGCAGCTATTCCAATCAACAAATACACCCCCATCCCCCATAATACTAAACAATAGATGAACAAATTATTAAATGCAATATCTCACGGGAATCAGACTGAATGAAACATCTTAAGGAAACTTTAATTTTATTTTTGTAAGTTTTCTTTTCAACCAAAGTGTTACTTAACGATTCATCAGTACTTGGGCAGGCTGGAACCCCCCCCCCCCCTGGCCCCCAAAGGGAAGAAAAAACAGTTTTGTATTCAGGTCGTCCGCCTTGTACCGTCGTAGGGGATGAAGGGAGCTCTGAACGTGTCATACTAATTTTAAGTAGGTGTAAAAGATATGTTTGAAGATCAGTTTTTTTCTGAACTAGGGTGTTGTATGCCTTAATTACTATTGCCAATTTACACTAAAAGATAGATAAAATTATTGATAAATTGCGGCTTTATCCCCTTAACAATATTGTACGTTCACGTTCTTTATTTCTGCTAGTCCTGGAATTTTTTGTCGGTTCGTGGCTGCAACCCCATCCCCAATATTTCTTCCTAAGACCTTCATAGCTCTAAAAATGCCTGAGAAAAAGAGTTCTTTTCTTGAAGAATTTACCCAAAAGCTACATGTAATCAGCATGAGTACGAGTATTAATTTAAAAAAGAAATTAAAGTACCGTGTCTTTATTTATTTCATAAAACGTTTTATGTCGTTTCTGGTATTTAGTGAAAACTTTACTTTCACTTCTCACCTGCTGTAGACCAAATCTTCTTGATGGTAGTTCGAATAGGCTGATATAACATTGTATACAAACCGTAGTTTAAGGAATAGCCATGGTTTTAATTAAGGATGAAGATGTAGAATTTTACGTGTTATAATATTATACATGTACGTGCGTATTTCGTGTTGTCCATTTTACTGAGCAATGCCAAACAATAACAGTACGTCAATAGCTATTATATGACTTTGAGTATACGCCCAGTATTTGTGCACAACTTCAAAATAAATGGTTTTTTGAAAAGTTAGGTAGCTCTTATTTAGTATTTTTTTTAATGTATTCTTTTCTTTTACTGATACATGATACATACGTTTCATACGCATGACTTCAAAGAAAAGCCCGAAGATATTTGTTAACCTGTAGTGTTAGATCAACTAATTACAGTAAACTGCCCCCCTCACCCCCCAAAAAAATTAAATAGTGGACCTATAAACCTACTAAAGTGTAATGAACAACTACAAAATCGTAGTATGATACTTTTTGTGAAAAGTGAGTAATAATATATAACAAAATAACATTAATATATAACTATAAACTAGTAATTTACAAGGGGCAAAAGGGTTAAAACTGAGGAAATTCGGAATTTTTGTGGAAATCTTCTTTTTAAGGTATGAGCACACTTCAGCCCCACAAATTTTTTTTCATAAATAGAAACCTCTTGATGTTAGTCTTAAACTGAACCCTAAATAAATTTGGGGCAGGCCTGTGCTCTATGAAAAATTTGACTATTTAGCCCCCAAAATGTGATAAAATCAAGAAAAATCCTGATTTTCTATGATTTGGGGGCTATAGATCTCAGGTATAAAAGTAATGAACTCCAAGATTTTTTCCACTTTGATAAACTACAATACCTAGACTATCTTTTAAGCAAAAAATATTTGTCCAAAACTTCAGTTTAATTTTGACCATTTTACAGGGCATATTTTGACCCTTCGTGGGCCAAGCTCTTTGGAACGATGTACCATTTAATAAGTTTCAATTATACATAAACTTTGTTGCTCATTATTGTCAAATACATGGATTATAATTTTGATTCCCATGCCTTGACGACCACGCGTTTAGAAAGGAAGGGGGGGGGGCTATTTATTAAATTACTAGTCAAGTCTTCATTTTATGTTGTAACTTTCAATCTAGTATCAATTTTAATAAATGTTAAATTTTCTTTTCTTTTTTTAAATCCTTAAATTTGTTAAATGTGTGCGCAGATACGCCCCTTGAAATTGTATTGGAATATTCTTTCCGTCTTTCAAATGTGATCAAGGTCATTTAACGAGGCTCGGGGGTGGCAGCCATTTTTAGACTATTTCAATCTCCTTTAAAAGGAGAGCTCCATATAAAGATATAGAAATTGATCAAATTTTAAAACTAAAATTTTTGAATTTTTTTCTTTGTCAAATGATAGTTGACAGCTAAAGATACCATATCTAAAAAAATAAGTTAAATTTGGTGGTTAATTTGGGATTAATTTGTTGACCCTCCAGCCTCCTTAAAACAGCGATCACGGGCTCCGACTCCGAGTGCTTGCAACTGAAAACCTGTTTTGCTATGAATACATATTGAGTTCTCGGCTTAATGACAATGAAAATTACGATTATTTTTTTTTTAAATAAAATGGTTCTATAAATACTTAATGGATACAACTTATATATCAACGGATTTAATTTTTTATTCATTTTGTAACTCCGAATTGCTAGCCGTAAACAGTAAAATAAACAGAACTCCTTTCATGAATATTATGTAAGAAACGTTTAGGAGTAAATCATGAATAATTGTATATTATTAGTTTTATAAATCACGTACTTTTTATTTCATCCAAGGTATTTCAGTTTTCTTGTAATATACCTGAATGCCGTGTGAAGATCGATCTACGTTGAATGTAGAGTGTATAGTCAAATTCCGCGACTATTAATTAATGTACACAAACATGTATATATATACGTGTATTCGGGTTTGGAAATGATGGACTTTACAGTATGATAGGTATACTGGTGCTATTTAATAAGCTTCATGTAAAAAGACTGAGACATTACATTTACACACCACACACCCCCGACCGGTTTCCTTCCAAAAGATAAAAAAATCTTTAAAAATGAATCATTAATCGTTAGTAGAGTATATAAGCAAATTTTATTATCAAATCAAAATCATGAAAAATAATCCGCCTACGGAAATCAAACACAATATAATCATTATTTAGAATCAATGAGTTCGTGTTTCTGCAGTACGAAATCGAATTTTTGTTATACTCGTAAAAAATATTAAAAGGCAAGAGATACATTGTAATAAATGACTACCTGTAATATATATAAAAAATATATTTCATGAAATAGTCATTCATGATATCGGCATTTAGTTTTTAAACATTTGGATTAATAAATACATGTAAATACGAAACGACAATTAATTATTAATTAATTACAACTGTCAGAGTATGAAATTTTATTTAGGTTTATATGATACTAGTGTACTAATATTTAATTTAAACAGCTTCTAAATGTGGCTTTGTGAAAGGTTTCCATATATTTAATTATAAAACCGTAATTATTATTATGTCCGAGATATTCCGAGTAGAAAATCCAAACTGAGGCCAAAACGTGCGAGAATCGTGTACAAAGCGTGTGAGAAACGTGTAGAAAGCGTTTCGTGCAGCCTTTCGTCCAAAGCGTTTCGTGTAAACCGTGTAGCGTTTCGTGCAAACCGTGAAGCGTTTCGTGTAAACCGTGCAGCGTTTCGTGCAAACCGTGTAGCGTTCGTGTACCGTTCGTGCAGCGAGCGTGTGGGGTAGTATCACGTCTCAGGGTCTGTATGTGTGTGTGTGTGTGTGTGTGTGTGTGTAAGTACATGTGTAGTATATAAGTATATTTTCAAAATCAATATCTTTCGTTTATTATTTGACTCTCATCTCATCAAAATCGGACGAAAGACCCATTTGTTGCTCGCAACGAGAATGGATCTAGTAACACTGCATTATTCTGTTTTCATTGTTACGGACCTAATGTCTTTTTTTGGAGGTGTGGGGGGGGTCATGATTTTTTTATTATTTATTTTTCATTAAAATTCACTTTTGTTCGCGCTAATTAATCTAATTGATGCGGTAGATGATTAAAAGTAGATAAATATAACGATCGACCTTTAATTTCGGGTTGCGTGCATTTATCGCAAAGGTAAGACCGATCCAAACTTTCAATACTTTTTACACATATTTACTGACTGCGTTTTCGTGGGACAAATTAAAATTTGAATCAATGTTCATACCATATGTGAATAAATAATATTTGAAATAAACTTTTATTTATGTATAAATTTTGAAAATGTATTTTTTTGTAAATATTAACTTAGAATATAATGATACCCTGCTTTCATTTTTACTTGAATGTGTTTTCTATATCACAGCACACTTTAACTAACTTTCAATTATTTTTATATATTTTTATCTAAAAAACTAAAATCGTTTACTGGCATTTCTTATTTTATTAGATATTCATACAATGCTACAGGTTTTGACATTAAATTTAAAACCCTGAAGCATCTTATTTACAAATAAAACAATTTTTATGCTGTCTCCTCAAAAAGGCAACAAACCACCCACCCCCTCCCTTTGTAAAATACACATAATGTAACGAAATTAAAGTTAGGAATTTAAATTAAAATTTTACTTTTAGGAATTTTCCTCCCTAACAATTTTAATAGTTTAAAATAAAAAACAAATTGAGTTCGAATTAACTGAAAATCGCAAAACATATCTATTTTACCAGAATTTTAAAGATGTGAGACTCGAATAAACAGATGTACCCCTTATATCACAATTTACAATTCGTACATTTTTTTATAAATGTTATAATAAAAATTATTTAAAAACTATTTCAAATACAATATTCTAATGCTAAATGATCTAACTTCATAGCATCTTTAGAAATATTTTTTGAAATGTGAATATTAGAAACTTCATTTTACATAAGAAGTACAATAAAGGAATTCAAAATTAATGCATAGCGTCAGCTTTGTAGAAACAATTCTTATCAAATGCTTCTTAAAAAAAGAATTTAAGTATTCGTATGTTTACTGAATGTTTTTAAGGATATGCATATATTATTCATCCTGTTTTGTTCAGTAAAAACGTGTAAAATTGGCTAAAATTTTCAGTAAATACACGAATTTCCTAGCTATTCAGTGATTACATGTATTTCCTAAAACAGCCAGTAAATACATGTATTTACTGAATGTTTTAGGAAATACATGAAATTCCTGATTTCACATATTTACATGATTTACTGTAACATATATTTTATTGATTTTAGAAACATCCTCTTTCAATAACAATAAACGAAAGCAAACTATCTTGACTCTTCCATTTTTTTTCTAAAACATGCAAGAATATCTTTGAACAACTCAATGCAACGTACAAAAAAATCAATGGATGAAACAATACAACAAAATCACAAGAATCGTGTTGAATCTGTCGTTAAGCATATTTGGATATTGAAAAGATTCTGCGTGTTTACAATATCTTTTCTTATCTTATCTTATCTGAACATCTGTTTGATAAGGCTTATGAAAATACTCCTCGTTTCGAGATATAAAGCATAAAAAATATAGCATTTCGGTCCTATGCAATCCCTAATTACGTAACATATGATGAAAAGATTATCATATATTGTTGCAAAGCGTTAAAAGGAATACATTTGCTTCAGTAATGTATAACAAAATATTAATCATTAGAGAGTTATAGATAAAGGACTTTTGGCCCCTCTTAGCCCCTTATTGAAGGGGTCAGCCCCTTTTTCTTGAATCAAATGAAAGGTCTTGTGCTTTGAAAGATTTTCTGTTCAACACTTATTTAGAGACTTCTTTTCGTTGTGGAGATATGCTCAATTGAAATATTTAGGGGCCACTCCTACTAGTCCTTAAAGGGGCCGTTTTACAAAAATTCAAAGCATGCATATTGTTTAGAACATTATTCTGACCATCTTTTGTTCAATATCCCTTATCAGAATATTCCCCCCTTTCGAGATATAAAGCGTCAAAGATTTGACAATCTGCCCCCTTCTGACCCCTAATTGCGTAACATTTGATCAAAATTGTATCATATCTTGTTGCAAATCGTTAAGATGAATACCTTTGCTTCAGTAATGTATAACAAAATATTGATAATTAGAGAGTTATAGATAAAAGACTTTTGGCCCCTCTGAGCCCCTAATTGAAGGGGTCAGCCCCTTTTTCTTGATATCAAATGAAAGGTCTTGTGATTTGAAAGATTTTTTGTTCAACACTTATTCAGAGATTTCTTTTCACCGTGGAGATATGCTCTATTGAAATATTTAGGGGCCACTCCTACTAGTCCTTAAAGGGGCCGTTTTACAAAAATTCAAAGCATGCATATTGTTAAGAACATTATTCTGACCAATTTTTGTTCATTATCCCTTATCAAAATATTCCCCGTTTTCGAGATATAAAGCCTCAAAGATTTGACATTCTGGCCCCTTCTGACCCCTAATTACGTAACATTTGATCAAAATTGTATCATATCTTGTTGCAAATCGTTAAGATGAATGCTTTTGCTTCAGTAATGTATAACAAAATATTGATCAATATATGTATAGATAAAATACTGTTTGCCCCTCTGAGCCCCTTATTTGAGGGTTCAGCCCCTTTTTTTTATATCAAATGAAAGGTCTTGTGATTTGAAGGATTTTTTGTTCAACACTTATTCAGAGATTTCTTTTCATCGTGGAGATATGCTACATATAAATATTTAGGGGCCACCACTACAAGTCCTTAATGGGGACATTTTTCAAAAATTTCAAAGTTGCATATTGTTAAGAACATTATTCTGACCAATTTTTGTTCAATATCACTTATCAAAATATTCCCCCTTTTTAAGATATAAAGCGTCAAAGATTTAGCATTCTGGCCCTTTGTGACCCCTTATTACGTAAGATATACTTAAAATTTGAAAATATGTTGTTGCAAATGGTCTAGAATTAATAAAATTTGAAAAATCAAGCAGAAAAAGTCATAATATTTTTTGGTCACAAGGGGGATCGAACCCGGGTCGCCCGCGTGACAATCCAACGCGCTAACCATTCGGCCATCGGGATCGACGCTTCGCGTTTTCAAACGCTAATATCTCGAGATTGGCTTTTTCGATTTTCAAACAAATTACATATATGGCTTCTGCAAAAGTGTCTCTATTCAATTCTTAAATTAACAGATTTATTAACAGACTTATTTTTATATTCATATGAAGCAGAATTTATGCAATATCTTATGCGTTGCAAGAAGAAAACACTTGCTGTGGCCTTCAACTCGACTTTTAGATATATCGAAGACGTATTGTCTATTAATAATGATAATTTCCATACCTACGTCGATACGTTATATCCTGGTGAGCTTGAGATAAAAGATACCACAGAGTCCGACAGTTCTGCTTCATTCTGGATATTTTACTTGAAAAAGACACTAATGGAAATCTAACAACAACGCTATATTATAAACGTGATGACTTTAACTTTTCTATCGTCAACTTTCCTTACTTATGCAGCAATATACCTTCATCACCTGCTTACGGAATATATATATATATATATATATATATATATATATATATATATATATATATATATATATATATATATATATATATATATATATATATATATATAAGTTGATTCGATAAGCAAGAGCATGCTCTACGTATGATGAACAGTTTCTTAAATGAGGTTAATTATTGATAAGCAAGTTGATGAAACAATAATATCAGCAGTCTCTTTTAAAGTCATCATTTCGTAAGTTCTATGGTCGATACAATGACCTTGTCAGCAAATACAATTTATCATTAAGTCAAATGCTGACTGGCGTTTTCCATATAAATTGATAGTCCATTAGTTATACAATGAATTGGCGACGGATTCTCCCGTTATTTCCCGATCATGACAAGGCGGTTGTGACCGGCCAGCAGGGGATGCTCACTCCTCCATGACACCTGATCCAACCTCTGATGTTTCGGAGGTCCTTGTTTGCTCTGCTCTTATTTTGTATATTGTTTAATGGACTTGAGATTGAATATTGCCATTACTTAGTTACTTATCTCCATATGCTTAAACTAGCTTGTAATGGAGACATATTTTAAAAAACACCCCTTGAACTGAAATGTAATGGATGTCCTCAAGTACATGTTGTTTTATTCTTGTATATATTTCACTTTAGCTTTCATATATATTCAAATATATTCAAAATATAATTGTAAAAGGTTTACCTCTGATACAATTATTGTCTCTCTCCCTAAACCCAAATTCACATCCGCATTTTTCCTCTCTCCCTCTATATCTTTTATATTTAGGGTATTTTAGGCACATTTGTTGACACCCAGTTGAACAAAAAGACGAACCTGAAAAATATTACATGTATTATATATAGTTATCTTGAAACTTGCAGAATTAGGTTGAGTTTTATTGATGATAATGCTTAAATCAATAACATCAAAAGCACACATAATATTTTTTTGGCTACCATGTAAACATCTTTTGGTAATTAAGTGTATTAAGTTGCAATGTCAATAAATATTTGAGTCCTCGGTTATATCGACTATTGACAAATGCAAAAGAACTTTATTTCAGTTGTTAATTTATGATGCGCTTCTTGTGATACAATGTTGTATTTTTTTCTAATATAACTTTTATGTTTTGAAAAGGAAGTATAGAAAATGGTACTATTACAGTCAAATCTGTTTTGATATTTTCTCTGATATCCTTGTAAAACACGTAATGAGGTGAAAAGTCTCATGTAAGGTAAAGGAAAAATTAGAAAGATTTAGGATTCAAACCACAAAAACAACAACAAAACACAATACAAACTGTCTTCTGATGATAACAGTCTGTCATTTATCACAATGTCCGTTATTTTTCCTTCCAGGAGAACACATCTTTGTTTCGCTCCTGCTCCATTTCCATATTCAGATGAGCATATAAAGTTTTCCTTAGCTGTCGACATGGACCATATCAGCAAATTCTGAGCAGAAACATAGTCAAATAAAAGCAATCCAAAATGGATATATAACTTCTGGGGATATCTGGCCCTTAGCCAGGAAGGATGACTCTTTCAATAATGATAAAAATTAATAATTTAATTTAAATATTCTAAAAATAAAGCTTAAAATTGAAATCTTTTCGTGCAACAACTTTCACTTGATGCCTCTAAATGTACGTCAAGGTTATTTGAAGTTTTAATGAAAGATATTATAAAGTTTATATTTGTATTTCTTGAAAGTATTAAAAACATATTTCAACAAATCTAAGTCCTTTTTATCCAGCCTTAGTCAGTTAAAAGTTTCTTAGTTCTTGGCTGAACGCTATTGCAGAAATAAAAAAAAACTCGCTGACATTTTTTTTTTAAATCCAAAATGCATTTTTTCTTTTTACATATTAATATTCAATTTCAGGTCAGACGATACGTTCGACGGAAATATCATTTTCGTATATCTCAAAACATATAAATTATATTTAAAATTAAAATAACATTGTGATTTAAGAATTGGTTTCCTTATTCTAAGTTTTGAAAAACAATCATTATACGGAGGTACCTGATAGTGTAAAAGTGAATCAACTGTGGCCCCCGGAGTATATCTGTTTACTTGTTGATTTCTACCATCTTTGTCTATACTCATTATACCTTCATAACTCGTCCAAAACAGCCTTAATAAAAGATATTCAATGTGAATATTACATGATATAAGTTGCGTCCAGCAAAAGGGACTTAGGTGACCTATAAAAGTAACTACACGACAAAAGCGTTTCAAAGACAAGACGTTTTGTCTATATGTTTGCCGAAAAAAATATTAATGCGATAAATATGTTTGTAATATGAAAAAACAAAATTATACACGTCTATAACTGCAAGTCCGTATAAAAATTAATCATCCTCTATTCATGGATTAAACGATATTTTTTTCAAAATAATATATATACACTGGATGAAATACAGTTTCCGCATGGCTGAAACCCTACTGAAACTCTGCGGAAAATTAAGGTTACTAATAGTTTCTGCAAAGGTTTAGTGCGTAAACTTCAAGTTTCATCAAGTTTCCGCAGTGCGGAAACCAACCAAAGGTGTCCACAAATCCAAATAGTTTCCGCAACTGAAACATGCTGAAACTTGCGGTATACGCAAGGTTTCAGCATGCATATACTGTTGAAATACATATGGTGTACCATAGGTTCCGCAACTGAAACTTGCTGAAACTTAAGGTATACGCAAGGTTTCAGTATGCGTATACGGTTAAAATAAATATGGTTTACCAATGGTTTCCGCAACTGAAACTTGCTGAAACTTGAGGTATACGCAAGGTTTAAGTATGTGTATACGGTTGAAATACATATGGTTTACCAGTGGTTTCCGCAACAGAAACTTGCTGAAATTTGAGGTATAGGCAAGTATGCCTTTAAAATATTGATATACATAGGGTATACTTTAGGTTTCCGCAACGGAAATTGTAGTATTGACTACACAATTTAGCCCTGGTTTTCAACCATGGTCATTTTCACCCTGAATTCTCATATTGGAAAAAACAACACACTAACACTTGTTATCAAAGAATATTCAATGTTATTACAAACATTTACATACATTGGGTTGAACATTTTTCTCTTGCATCAAAAACATTTTTTACAGCTAAGTCCGAGCCCTCAAGTCACGACAGGAGGACAGAGAAAATGTCTGCATTTAATGATGTCTCATATATCAGAGATATAATCTTGCGAGAAGAACTTAGAACTGCATTACTGCAATCAATCAACTAAACCTGAATTCGGTTTATGCAAGTCTAGTATTATCAAGGAAATGTAAAATTACTTGGTATAATAAATGCACAAGTTCACATCACAAGTAGCCAATAAGCACCAAGGTTGATTCCTTTGTTAAAAATTCAGTTTGTAGTCCATCATCAATAAACAGAAAAGTCCCTGAGTGGATCTCATTTTTTGATGACCCACTTACACTTATCATGCTTATGCTAGTGGTGGCTGCATGTTTTCGGAACTGTGCAACACATCACTGTAGTCTGCATGTATGTCCTGTTCCAGTTTCAGTTGACTTTAAAAATATCAATGCTTGAGTATAGAAAGACTTGTTTTCATCATTGGAGAAATGATATCATGTTCAAGTTGGATTGATCTGCTCATCAGTTACTTCAACCTTTTGAAAAAATATATAAATATAGTTTAACAAAATCCCAATCTTAATAAAACAACATGTTAGATCCTCTCGCATACTCGCTACACAACATCTAACAATATCCCATAGAAGGTCACGTCAGATGTCAAATACGGAACAACTCTAGACTTCTTTGTTCTAATATATGAAATGCAATAATTTTGCAGTTGACTATTTGATTGGTTAATAGAATTTGACCTCTGACTAGGGCTGTATCAATATATCTATATATCAATACGTATCTATATTCAAGAAAAATATCGTTCCGAAAAGTATCTTCCAATACGTATCGGAAAGAGATTTTTTCTTCAAAATCTGTTCAAAAAATGGGAGTTTTAATCACCAAAGATTATCTTTTACTTTTTTGAATTAAAACCTTCAATAATTATATAACTTTTAAGGACATAACACATTTTTCTAATTATTACAAAATACAATGAGAATTTTTTGAACATGTTGATTTTACTGACATCAAAAGATTTAATTGAAGTGTTATTTTTAAAGATAATGAGACAAGAACTTTAAAATGGGTAAAAAAACACTTAATTGATATGAAAAGTATGCATTAAAATGATTAAGAAGCCTACTCTGACGGACGTGTTTCAGAATCCAGTATATCGCATATCGCTTTAAAAAATATTGTATCGTATCGTATTGAAATTTTTGGCTCAATACACAGCCCTACCTCTGACGTGACACTCTACAGGATGTTGTTAGATTTAGGCAGTATCTAACAATTAATATTACTTTAATGGACATAGTCCCTAGTGCTGTTCTAGTACAAGCTTTTGTTTGATTAATTTCACATTTTAGGCATTTTTTATCAGAATGATTTAAAATGAAATCTGAAAAATTATCAAGTGTAAAATATCATTAGTTTATCAAAGATGCCTTTTTTAAACACTTGATTAGGGGTAATGAAATAAACAAACTTGAATTTATTTAAATGTACCTGAATATATATGCATAGATTTGTTTCTGATTTTCAGAATAAATTAAGGAATTTTCTTTCAATCTACTTGTTCATCAAAATATCTTTTTATTTGAATAATAACTAGAGGTCCATAGACCTAATAGGTATCATGTAACAACTTTCACTCAATTGAATTTGGTTTGTGTTTTAAACAGAAAGCCATGAAATTTGAAAATTTGAAAGATGCACCATTGCTTTTCATAATTATACACTTAACATGCTTACTTTGGTTACTCAATACCCAAAGGTAGATCAGAGTAATAGGGTGAATTCACCATGCATCGGACTACCTTGTACTTCAACAAGTTCTAGCGATATTGCTACCGACGGAAAATTATCAAAATGGAGTTTGACATTTAGTTTGTAATTAAAATATCAATTTAGAACACAATTATATGCTGTTTATTGAGAAAATTTCCCCAAAAATCGAGTTTTTAGGAAAAACTGGGAATTAACCACGGATCGGACATTGTTCACCATGCATCAGACGGACGGTATGGAGACCGGAAAAATATCACACCTTTATCACAGTGCTTTAAAATCATTGATATGGAAGTATTTTCATCTTTTATCTAAGAAATAACCCTCAACTTTAATTTAATCGACGAAATTATTGCACAAATGTAGAACGATTCAAGAGACCTCACTCTGCCTTAGAAATGCTTTAAATACTTATAATGCCGTAATTCGCGCCTTTTTTCTCATGGTTTATCATACTCTGGTTTGTAGAAATAAATTAAGTAAAATTCCAGACGTCACATATCGATAACTTGTATTTTTTTCTGAAAATATAGAGTTTTTATTTTCTTTTTCCGCAAAAAACAGCTGTCAGCTGTGTTCTGTATGAAAATGGTAGTGCTTACCTTTGCACCGGAAAGTGTCCGATGCATGGTAAATTTGTGTCCGATGTACGGTGAAATTAGCATACTAATAAAAACCCGCTTTATTAAGAATTAAACAAGCAGTGAAGTGAAATTTCTTTATAATTAATGTAGAAATACCAATCCCTGACAAAATTCACCAAAGTCCGGCTCGTTCTGTGGAAGTCGAATTAAAAAGAACGATAACTCTAAAAATGGCAAAATCATAAATTTCGGGTTATTCCCCTTTGATCATGTAAAATATGACGTAACTTCAAGGCCATTTGCTGAGTATATTTATCACAACTTGATAAAAACAATCGGTATCATTAAAAAATTTAAATCTTCATCTTTATGACAGAAAAAAATAAATACACAGAACTCTTAAGTTGAAAGAGAATTTATTGCCTAAAGTTGTCCGAAGCAAGGTATGTGTCCGATGCATGGTGAACTCACCCTAAAGATAAAATGCAATTCCATTTTAAAACCACAAGTTGTGTACCCCACCCCACAGGAACCACTAACCCTGGGGCCACACATTCCAAAATTTTCTGAGTGTTATCTTAAGTTTTTTCATCATAAATGGTTGATTTATTCCCAAGAGCTATATGGACCAACCCTAGTACTAGAACCCCTGACCTTGGGGCCATGAATTTCATGATTATGGTAGATGACTCAGTGCTCATTACAATCATGGCAACAGTTTGACTGCTTGATGTCCAGAAGTAAAAAAGATGGGGGGAGGTATCATAATATTTACAAATTTTGTTCCCCTTCATTGTAGATGCTTTGTACCAAAATTGGTTGAAATTGGTTGAGCGATTGCAAGGAAGAAGCTGAAAATGTTCAAATGTCAACACACGACAAACAAAAACAGGTGCTGGCACGAAAAAGATCCCTCACTGCTCAAAGGCCCAGCATAGGACAAAATTTGTAGCCCTCCACCGGCAAGTAGTGGCGTCTCCATATGAGTGAAAAATTCTCGAGAGGGACGTTAAACAATATACAATCAATCAATCAATTCAATAAAATTTAGAGATCATAAAAGTATTATGTAAAATTTTCATAATGGGTCACATTGCCATTGGTTAAAGCGACAGCCCTAGAGTTGGGGAGTAAGACCTGATTCGTACATCACGGGTCTGAATCCAATGTAGTACAAAGAGACTGGTCCCTCGGATGAGACTGTGTTGGTGGCGTGTCCACATTAATAAAAAGTTCTCTAACGGGATAACAAATAAATACAAGTATATGACTGTATAATGAATCAATACATGTAACTTAAGAATTTGAAAATGGCCAATTGCCCATTTCATCAAGCTCCAGTCTATCATAATACACACTTCAGGTAAATACTGTTCTGTTCATATCAAGAGAATATTCTTTATGGTTGTGATTTCTGATGTATTTATAAACTGCACCACAAATAATACACAAGGTACAATAAAAATATGGTATTTTAATGAACAATAACACCATGCACACTACCGGTAAATCAAGTTTTAGGTTGCTAAAATAGTGTTAATTGTTTCATATAGATCAAAACATGCATATGTGTCAGTATAAAATTACAATTGATCTATTAATTTAAAATAAATATCATTTTAGCATTTCACGTTTAATTAATGATAATCATGCCTTGTAAGAAAAG